CTCTTAATGTCCTTGTCTGCGCTCCCTGCCCACACCTGCCGGTGCCGCGTCCCCACTGTCTTCTGTAACCTGGCTGTTCTTTGCCTTTGTCACTCACCCTGCTGGACTCAGCTCATGTCTTGCTTTGTCAGGCAGGCCTCAGGTTTTCCGTTCAGCTCCACCTCCCTCCTGCACAAGCTCATGCTCTGCATTTCTCAGTCATGCTGGTCATCATTATTATAATATAAATTTGCTTATGAAGCTGATTAGTATCTCTTTCCCTCTTTAAAATATAAACAAATTCTAAGGGGAAGAAGAACATTTTCTACTTGTAGTGCCTTCTGCATGCTTGTTGCAGTAAATGCCTGTTGAAGGAAGGATGGAAGGGTGGCAGGAATCCCCTTAGTATGGATGTACAGAGAAGACTAGAGTGGAGACGTGCGGTTGGGGATGTAGCTCGGTGGCACAGGATCTGCCTGGCAAGTGCAAAGTCCTGAGTTCGCTTCCTGGTACCAGAAACAAAAGCAAACAAAGAAACTTAAAAACAAGAGAAAAGATGTGATGTGGTAACCCTGAGACTCTAAGTTAATTTTATATACTTCTTGCCATTTTAGACTGTTCTTATTTTTTACAAAAGCCTTCCAACCTAGGGCTGTTAATAGCATTACATTATATGCTACATAATTTTTGCTGCATATCATTTCTATTCTAATAGATTAGATTTATACATAAGGGAATTTTATCCTTGTCAACTTTATAGATATGATCAATGAACCGCTCAAGGTTAATAACTAATTATCCAATTTAAGGTAAGATGTTGTGCACTCGAGACTGTGAAAGGACTACGCGCTTCTACCTGGATGTGGTCTTCTTTCAGAATTCACTTCAAAAGGCATTGCTTCAAAAATTTAAATAATTTCCATAGAGTCAACCTAATTTGGGCAGCTGCAATGAAATACTACAGGCTGGGTGGCTTCAACACTTATTTCTCACAGTTCTTGAGCCTAGGAAATCCAAGATGAGGCAGCTGCTGTTGTCACTTTCTGGGGAGGGCCCTGTTCTGAGGGTGCAGACGGCTGCCTTCCTTCCAGCTGTATCTTAGCTTCATATTGAAGGTGGAGAGAAGACAGACAGGGAGAGAGACTCTGGCCTCTTCTCTTTCTCTTCTTGTAAAGGTGCTGGGTCTTTTTTTTTTTTTTTTTTTTTTCCTGGTACCAGCTGTGGACCTCGCCCTGCCAGTCAGATGCTGTGCTGCTGAGCTGTCTTCCAGCACTAGGATGCTAATCTCACATGCTCTCGAGCTAACTTAAACCTAATTACATCACAAAGGCTCTATTTTTTTCATAATTTTATTGAGAAACAAATAGCAATGAGACAGTTTCAAATCAAATTGGTAGGACAGTTTCAATAATAACACATTGTATACATTCTTCCTAGTGGTTAATTGCTGTACAAGATGCGGACATGATATCCTACTTACAAACACCATTAGAACAAATCCCTCTATTCATTAAGAGAATGTAACTATATATCTATCCTAACCACTTTGAATACATAGATACAAAATGGACATTCATCTGTATCCCATTTTTGGTTAAGTTCCGTTATTTGAATATTATAGATGTGTAAACTCAGCAAAATATTCTAAAAGAGTCCAGTAGCCCATAATAGTATTGGGTCTTCTGCTTCACTGGCAGTGTCAGAAATTGTTGACCTGAGTCCCCTACAGCTCAACATAACAGTATGGCTTTACTTCTTATACTTTGTTTTTATACTTTTCTGCTGGATGGTTAAGACAAGGTAAAGCAGGACCTATGCAACAAGAGTTGTAGCTTTTGGGTCTGATAAGGTCAGTGAAATACCCTCAGGATTTCTCCTGAGATCCTGTACCTCAGATTGTAGAACTTTTGTCAGCACATACAATATTTAAAGGGCAATGGAATACACATCTCTGACAAAACTAAACAAAAAAAGGGGATACAAATGAAGGACCATTTTTGTATCTGTATAGACAAAAGAGTTAGGATAGGTATAGAGCTACTTTCTCCTAAATCAATGAGAAGAAAGATTTGTACTAATAGTGTTTGGACTGGATATCATGTCTGCATCTTGTACTATGAGTAACTACTATGAAGACAATAATATGCAATGTATTAATTATTGAAACTGTCCTACTAATCAGCTTTGAAATGGTCTCACTGCTATTTGTTTCTCAGTAAAATTAATTTAAAACAAATTTATTCTTTTAAAATTATATCTGGAATTCTGATTATGTCTGGGAGAAATTGAAAGGTGATAACTTGAAATGTGAAAATCACATTGCCCTCTAGTGCCAGCTGACCTGGTGGAAGTGGAGGACTTGGAGCTGCGGGCGAGGGGGAAACCACTTGGGAGGAGCAGGCAAGGCAGGAGATGGAGCGCTGGCTCCATCTCAGCGGGGGATTGAGGTAATTAGTCCTTATGGAGGTCAGGGATTAACTGGCTAAATACATACTTGTGAATAGAGCATAGCTACCAGGCTATTATCCATGTAGTAAAGTGATACATTTTTTTTTTTTTGTTTTTTATTATTGCACCATTTGAAAATGATTTGTTTGTTTTCCTCTGGGACCTAACAAAAAAGAAATCTTGCTCTTGTCTTAAAAAACTAAGCATATATAGGAATAAGCACATAAGGAAATAGGTTTTTGGTAAAATCTCCAGTTGGTGTTTCCACCATCATAAAGAAGTAGGATGTCGTAATAAACTCCAACTTTCCTAAGGCAACATTTAAAGCCACTTTGAATGAAATTACTGTGTTAGTGTAAGCCCAATAATTAAACAATTGCAGACATGCAGTGGATAGTTAGAAAATGATGAAGCACATGAATTTTCTTTAAAACACTGCATCCCAGGGGATATATGATTTACTTATCTAAAATCCTAAATTTTGGTGATAGATTTTAGCTTATATATTTTAAATAAATTTACTGTCTTTATATATTAAGCTTGCATAGTAAAATCATTGTCTAAAATTCTCTGAACTAAAATTTTACCATATGCAGGTGCCAGATCAAAAGAACTAACAATTACCGTGTTTCTCAGGATGTATAGATAAACAAAAAACTCATACCTCTCAAATGATAATAACATGACTGATTCAGGAGAGAAAATTATATTTTTCAGTTTTGTCAGATAGTCCAGAGAAGAGTATAACTATTTGTACACTTACTAAAACATTGTTTGAACTACATCCCTAAAGTGTTCTTTGCACAAACAGCCTGACTGAATATATTACTTTTTAAATCTTTCAGTGACAATTGTTGCTTTCTTCACAAACTCTAGTTATTATGCTGTGCCCCTTTTAGGAACCATATTTCATAGGGTGACAATAAATACTGCGTGACAGAGTTGATGTGTTGCCTGTTCTTATACTGGAATTGTAAGGGATACAAATTCAAAAGAAATACATCCCTGCTTCATCTATTTCTTAATCAGTATCCTTAAAAGACGTCATTTTTTGCCTATCTCAGGACACATGCACAGGTACGATGCTACGTTTTGATTTTTCCTGTGTCCTGCTACTGTACTGCGTTCTTCTGATTTGTAGTAATTTCTCTATCCTTTCATCTTTGTTATTTTTTTCTATTCTGGGCAAATCTTCGTGTTCTTTTTGTACTTTTTAGTCTTGTCTTTGTCCTCTCTTTTTGTTGTACTGAGGATCAAATCAGGACCTCGAGTGCACCAGGCCGGCGCTGTCTCACAGAGCTACACTGTGAGCTCAGCATTTCCCATATAGGTTCACCAGCTTCAAAATTGCTAGCGTTCTTCTGTTTGTTCTTGCAGGATGGGAAGTTGAACCTAGGATTCCTGTGTGCTCTGCAGATGTGGCTAGATTTTTAAGATTATTGAAGTAAAGGATTTAAAATTATGTGTTGTTACTAACATTTAAGCTGACTTCATTATTGGAGGAAATGATCCGTACAATACCTATATTTTGAAATGCATCATAGTAGTTTTGTGTCTCATTCTTTAGAATAGTTTATAACATGGTGATAATCAGCTAATGAAAGGCAGAGTGAGATATCTCATAGAAGGACTTCTCTGAAGTCAAAGTTTGATCTTTTATAATTTACTGCAGTGTAAGAGTACACCGTACATCCTGGCAGTGTGGAGAAGGCTTTGATTATGTGACCTGATAGTTCTGTTAATGCCTCCCTGAAGTCTGAGCTCCATGCAGTGTAGTGGTTTTAGACTACTGCCTTAGCAAACCACAGTGAACATAGTGCTGCCCAGTGGAACACTTTCTGTGGTTGTCAGAGATTTAATAAATGAATAAGCACACAATAAGGGCTGGTGAGATAACGCAGTGGGCTAAGCACGTGATTAGGTAAGTGCAGAGGCTGGGGCTTGATCTCTGGCACTACATGAAACAAAACTCTAAAAAATAAAACTTTAAAAGAGAGTTGGGGAGAGCGGTAAGAGACGTTGTATTTGTGAAGTACAGGAAGTAATGTGAGCCCTCATCACAGTGGAATCTTTATTGCTTTCAAGTTGGGGCTGAATTCAGGAGGAGCGAGGCGTCACTGAAACCTGAACCATTAGAGTGAAAGAACTGAAAAGGTTGGTGGATGGTGCTGTGCAGGGGACGGGGTGTGTGCTTGCCGAGACAGTGAGCCAGAGAAAGGGAACACACATGGAAGTGCCTCCTTGAACACTCCGGTGACCTCACCTGTGACCAAGGCGCCGAGACTGCCGGGGGTGGAGGTGCACAAAAGGCAGTTCTGTCACTTCCTGGGCTGCTTACAACCCAGAACAGAAATGATCTTGAGTCGGAGGAAGGTATTCAGGTGACTATAACACTAGCAAAAACGAAAGGATAATGAGGTCTTATTGACATTCAGAACAGAAGGAAGCTCGTGTTTTGAAGGGCTTTTTGGTGAAAGGCAAGGGGAAGGTTATTTAAGGCTCATGAAGCTACAGGTTGTGGCTGCGTCCTGTTCATGCTTCACTGTGTTTTGACTCTTGCCTTGTTTGTTCAGCTAGGATTGTGTCTGAGCAGAGCCTCTGCAGCTGTTCTTAACCTCAACTGCAGCCTTATCCTTTTACCCATGTGCCGAACACTCCTGGCTTTTCTTCGGGGATCTCAGAAGGTAAGAAAAAAAAAATCCTGGTCATAAATTTCGACATGAAAATCACCTGTGACCGTTTTCATGCCTGACTTCTGAAGTGGTTCCTTTAAGGATGATGGCAAAAGTCAGGTTGTCAAGATGATGTCTGGACTCTTGTGAAACATTCATGGCAGAGGGTTGTAGCAGTCTTTTTAGCACCATATTTAGGCACTGTGCTTAGCACTTCATATGCACCAGAGTGAGTCTTTATATGGATTCTGCACTTTGGTTTTGTTTCTGTCTGGTTTACATGTAAAATGTTCCTCAAAAATCTTCTGCTGCTGGGTGCAGTGGCACACGCCTGTAATCCCAGCATTTGGGGGGCTGAGGCAGGAGCATCGCTGTGAATTCAAGACCAGGCTGGGCTACAAAGTGAGTTCAAGGCCAGTCTACACTACATAGTGAAGCCCTGTTTCAAAAAGGAAAAAAAAAATCTCATGTGTTCAAATATGGTATTTTGGGAAGGCACTTGGATCGTGGACGTGTTACACTTGTCAGTGGGTTGGTTCACTGAGCTCACAGCGGAGTGTGCTGTGAGGACGAGGGGCTTGGCTGGAAGAGATGGTGCCTGGCACGTACCCTGCCCTGCGCTGGGCACCCTTCCTCGGCCACAACGCCCTTCTGCCATGATGTTTGGATCTCGGAGCCAGTTGACCTTGGATGGAATTTTCTGAAACTCTGAACCTAAACCTCCTATTATCTAATTTATGGGGTTCAGATATATGTTGTGGCAATTGGAAAGGTGACCATTACATTTCTATTTAATATAAGGAACCAGAGATGAAGGGTGAAAACAACCTGAACAAGATCACACCCTTGTTGACTGACAGAATTCTCTACCATCCAGCACCCTAATTAATTGATGAAATAAGCTACTTCATATTATAGGATTTCTGAGAGAGAGAGAGAGAGAGAGAGAGAGAGAGAGAGAGAGAGAGACCCCACAGTAAATACTGTTTCTTAGTCAAAGGCAACTTTTAATATAGTTGTAAAATTCCATTATATTCCACTGTCAATGAAACATTAAGAACTTTGTATAGCTGTATAAAAAGCAACTAATTTTTTAAAGAATAAACATTTCAAAGTCAGCCAGAAAAAAAAAAAAGAAAAAGGATCACACACCTTGTGACTGTTGAGACTAAAGTGGAGGTCCCAGCGCCGAGTTCTCACTGCTGCACTGCGCCTCCATGAAATGCTGCATTTTCCTTTTCTTAAATTTAAGTTTATTTTTATTTATTTGTTTGCTTGTTTATTTTTTATTAATTTTATTGAGAAACAAATAGCAATGAGACAGTTTCAAAACCGGTCAATAGGACAGTTTCCATAATTAATATATTGCGTATTGTTGTCTTTGTAGTAGTTATCCATAGTACAAGATGCAGACATGATGTCCTGTCCAAACACTATTAGTACAAATCTTTCTTCTCACTGAATTAAGAGAAAGTAGCTGTATATCTGTCCTAGTTTGTATATACAGATACAGACTGGTCCTTCCTTTGGATCCCCTTTTTTTGTTTAGTTTTGTCAGAGACGGGTATTCCATTGCCATTTATATAATGTAGGTGAGTGATTCAGCAAAATAATCCAATATAGTCCACTAGTCCATAATAGTAGTGGGTTATCCGTAGGACTGGCAACGTCAGAAGTTGTTGACTTGAGGCTTTTGCAGCCCAGCATTTCAATTTACTTTTAAAGACAGGAAAAAACAACAAAATGATGCAGAATTTCTAAGCAAGATGAGAGGAAATTAACAGTAGTTATTATACTGCATAATGTTATCTTCAGAGTACTTGTGCAGATTATCAGATGCAGGCAAGCGCAGTATTTCAAATAATATAAGCACTAATTGCTTCTTCCAATGAACTAACAGAAATTATGGTACAATTATCTTAGCTATCTTGTGTGTGCGCGCGCACACACACACATACATGTATAATTTGCTTACTTTTTGTTTTGATTTTTCCTTCCATCTTTTCTCCTTTCCCCCATCCCAGCTGTTCCTTCCTGTTGAGCAGTTTCTTTCCCTTTCACAATATCTGTTGTACCTTTTGGCTCTTATTTACTCTTTCAGTTTGTTACACGAGGGAGACAATAAAATGTTTGCACATGTAAATTTGATTTACTTCGCATATGAGTATGGTCTCCAGTTGCACTCATTTACCTACTAAAGCTTTAAGTGTATAAAAACACACATCTCTTTTATCCTCAGTTGCTGAGCACTTGGGTTGTTTCCAAGATTTAGCTATGACAAATTCTGCTGCTATAAATATGGGTGCACATTTACTCCTGTGGTATGATGTTTTTAATTGTTCTGGAAAAATGCCAGAAGGGGTGGAGCTGGGTCAAATGGACCCTCTACTCCTAGTTTTCTGAGGAATCTCCACACTATATTTTTATTTAGATAAATTCCATGAGTACAGTAGAGTCTTAGGCCTTTGAGTGATGCATGGAATGACTGAGGTGGTCACAGCTTATTCAGTTAAACACCAACTCGTGTCGAACTTGAAAAGCATGTCTTGATCGGGGTTATAAAGTGGAGGAGATAAGAAAGCCGAGAATGCCTTTAACAGTCATTCTGTTAAAACAACTACAATTCTTTTCTGTCTCTATTCTTATGTATGTGTCTGTGTGTGCATGTGCACGTGCATACCTGTGTGTATGAGTTTACTTTTACTAAAATAATAAAACACTGCAGGATAGATGTTTTGAAAGAGTTGTTAAAATACTCTGTAAAGTTCATATGTGCAAATTTACTGTAGTGAAAATTCTCAATCTTTTCATGTAATATGTGAAACTCTATTTTTAATGCAGTAATTTGTGGAAATAAGTCTCCTCTAGGTTGCCTACCATTGTAAAATGCTAGGAGTTGATCCCTGTGGCTGGCCACTGGGTTGGCATGAAGACAGAGAAGATTAGCCTGAAATGAAAAGCTCCCACCTAGGTCTCTAAGTATTAAAGAAGTCCTAAGGAGGCGTTTCCCAGTGTGAAGCTCAGATATGCAAAGATGCTTGACATTTATTTTTCTACAAGACCAGGCAGGCATTTAAGACCTTAGAAAAGATTGCCTCATGTAAAAATCATCTTCTTTTACTACAAAAGTAAATCATATATACTGTTAAGTTCAAACATCCCATGAAATATAGTCAGAAAAACTTCTGCGAAGATTTTTCTGCCAGAACAACAGTTTATAATTCGGGATAAATGCCTGCAGAGGCATACGATGCTGCTAATTTTGAACAAGACAGGATCACAATGTAGTTTGTTTTATAACTTTTAGGCTAACAATTTATTTTGAATTTGTTTGATTACTAGGCATTAGCTGTACTTAACAAAAGTTAAGTATCATCAGAATGTTATAGTGAAAAGCGTTGTACCTATGTAGTACCTTATTGATTGCATTGCTTTTACCATATAAAATAATTTTTATTTAGGTTCCCAGCAGGAGAACAAGAAGATTGTTGGATAAAAGCAGAGCATTCCATATAACCTGTGGTGTTACTATCTGCATTTTCTCAGGTGAGAAAGCCAGGAAGTATCAACAATTTTGTTAGAATTCCACATTTTTGTGTGTTAAATGTGCAACCTTATTGTTCTGTGTATAATCTACTGTCACTAACTTGGTGTTTTAACTATGTGTCTTAGTGTATTATTCTAGGCATTTAAAAAGCATTGCAAGGAAAACTACATAAAATAAGTGTTTGACTTATTTCTATTATAGTATCTGAAAGTTGGCTCCCCAACCAGAAAGGATTGTTTCTGGAAGGTAAATAATTTCATTTATAGAGATCGGGAGGAACATAGTAGGTTTCCAAGCCCTAAAAGTAATGATAGCATAGGAAGCTGGTGCATTCCTGTAGTTCCATTACTAAGGAGGTTGATCATATTAGGAAGATCATAAGTTCAGGGTCAGCCTGTGTTAAAATCCTGGGTCTAAATAAATAAGCAACAATAAATGCTATAAGTTTAAATGCATAAAAGTTAGAATGTGAAATGTTTGTTTAAGGATGATGATTCTACTCCAAACTACATTTGGGTTGTATCTTTGATATTAATACAAGATACAATTTGAAGACATGATGAATATTTATTTAAAAAAATGTTATACTAGAAGACACATTCCTGATGCCTCTCATGCTCCATTTGGCTCCAAACATGCTGATTCCCTTATTCTTGCTGCCTTCTGGAGCAGTTCTGGTGGTCCTTTGGGTGAGGACCCAATTTCATTCCAGATATGTCAGGGTCATTTTGAATTTTGAGAAGAGCACCAAGTCATACAGTGCCAGAGCTAACAAATAAGGCAGATGAGGACCTGTGGTGAGGCTTTCACACACCTGCCTTTGGTTGGTGCTCAGCAGTGCCATCATCATATTTTTGAACATATCACGTAGAAAGCCTGGCAGAGGACCTCCTGAACTGCTGCAGAATGTGACCAGTGTGTTTGAAGTGAGAGGGAGTATTACTAAAGTGAGAGGGAGTATTACTAGCTTAATGCAATGTGACTTTTTACTGTGATAAATTTTGAAATTTAAACATTTGCCGTGTATTTTGATTAGATTTTGTACTTAGAAGAACAGATGATAAAATTTGTGGCATTTTATACTGATTTAATTTAATGATATAAACTGAGGCGCTTATATTTTAGAGTCATTTTGAAATGAAATTATGTCCTGAGCATTTGCTTGGTGGTCTTCCAATTTTGGAAGCAGCACCGTTGTGTTTGTGCGCCTGGGCTCTGGACATGCTTTGTGGGCTCTCTCTCCAGCAGCTCTCTGTGACCCCCACCTCTTGGAGCCTCAGTATTTTTTTTAAACTGTGAAATGGATTGACAGTGGCATCAACCTTATAGTTTTCAGGTTCACATGAGAACATTGATAGGAGGGAAGCTAGGAAAAGACTCCAGCCCCAGTAGCTGTAGGAGCACACTCAAGTAGGGTCCAGGCTGGCCCGCCACAAAGCCAGAAGTCACCGTTCTGGGGTTTTCACAGCTAATGGCTGTTTGAGTTCCTTGGAAAAACATTGTCTATGGTTTCTGTCTCGGTTTGTGGTGGTTTCAGTCCTGTGATCTCAGAAAGGCTATGCCTTTCCTGGAATCTAGGTGATCACAAGCTCGGGACAGTGGCAGGAGTATGATGCTGTCTCCCGCTTGTCTTGACATCCTGCATTTTGAAGAGAGAGATCATATACATTTAGAGTGAATCCACCCTGTCTGGCCACCTCCTACATAGCCACGCCCTAAGTGGCCCACATGCCCCTGTTTAGAGCTGACCCAGGATTTATAGTAACAAAGGATATAAATAAAGTTGAGCTTTGTTTTGTTCTTAGTTATCAGAATTGGGCATCTGTAGGACCAACTGAAGAGTCAGGGCTCATGGTAACAGATGGCCTTGAAGTCCCTGACTGTCCTAGAATAAATTATAAATTATGCTTTCAAGGAGTAGCAGGCAAGGGCCCAGGATTTTTCCTTATTCCGTGTTAAAGATTTATTCTCCTTAATTTTAAGGAATAAGGAACTAAAGATCTCTCTCTGTCTCTCTCTGTCTCTCTGTCTCTCTCTGTCTGTCTGTCTCTCTCTCCTTCTTCTTTCTCCTCCTTTTTGTCATTATCCTCTTCCTCTTCCT